AAACTCCGTCCACTTTAGCTATTGTCGTATTTTTTTCAAGGTCCAATTGAATTAACTTAGGCATCACAGGGCCTTTAGCCAACACCTCGAGTGTGGTCTATTTACTCCAATTTATTTCACAGGGATTGAGGAAGAAGAGAGAGAAGGAAGATTGAAGATCAAGGAATCAACTCGTGAATATTCCCCATGCGGAAATTTGCTCAAACAATGCTCATCCTCCTACTCATGTCCGTCAAATCAACTGAATTCTTGATTCACAACGACTCTAGCCCTAAACATAACGCAGTGTTGTTGAGCTCTAACCCAGTCGCCAAACAAATCCCATGGATCTACCTCTGTGCGAGGCCTCATGCTAGTGCCTGCGATGCATAGGCGAATTTGAAATCGCCATGGACGTTGTTGATGGTTTTGAGGAAGCGAGAATTCAAAAAAATTAGTATAAGTCACGATTGATTGTTGGTGGTAGTAGAAGAAATCTAAATCGTCTATGCTATGAGGAAATGGTTGTTTGGAAGTGTTAATCCTAGTAAATGGTTTTGTGGTTTTCATGACTAGGGATTGGCCGGAGGGTTGTGTGGCTTTGCTGTTGATGGTTTTGGGCGATTGTGGCTTTGGGTTAAATAAAAACTTAATTTTTATTAGTTTTTTATATTTTTATATTTTTTAATTAATTAAATAAATATATGTTTATTCAAGTCCCAATCACAATCCAACATTATACTAAACGAAGGATAAGTCTTATTCAGCTTACTTCAAGCCAAAGACAATCCAGAATAATCCTTAAACATAGTCTATGTTTACACCATAATCAACCGAGCATATCCAGCCTCAAAACAACTAGCACCAAGGCAGCCACGCCTTCTCTCCTGCCGAAGGAAGACACTCTTCCAAGGTGCCAAACTGTTGATGATCTTTTTCGAAGAGGGTCAACTTAGAGAAAAGGGGTTTGCCTTCAATAGTGGAGAAGGTGTGGACCTTCGGTGAAGGGTTAGCTTACAGAAGACAAAGTAGGAGAAGCAATCGTTAAGCTTCGGACACCAGTGTGGTGCCGGCCGAAAGCTCTCCGATGCTTAAGTCAACTTGTAATATATCTCGTTCGGCAAGGCCCATGAACAAACAATTACGGGGTTGCAAAGTCTCAGCCATGCCCAGGTCACTTATCGAAGCTGTAATGCCCAAGCTTCTTGCCTTGCCAACAGATCTTAAGCATGTTGCAGTCACACCCCTCTCACAAAACCCCCATGCGTCCTTGCCAATCGGCATGGACCTTACTGAAACCGCATGCACTCACGGTTCTCTCCCGATGATCACACCAAACCCAGCTCAACCTAGAGAACCGAAATCTGAAACGGGTTGCTTACCGAAGACCAAAACGCTGACCCAGCACCACGGGGACTCCTGCCGAACGGCAGGTCTGGCGCGAAAAATGAAGAGAGGCCCACCACCTGACTTGAGCTGCCCCAGGAACCTTCCTCCAAGCTGTTCCTACCGAACGACAGGCTTATGCCTCCTACTCTCAAGCCCAACTCTTCCTTGCCGAACGAAAATGACCTTTGCGTGCCGAAGTTGTGTGGTGTTGAAGCCAATTCAAAACTGCCGAACGGCAAGAGTTATAAGGAGTTATTTATACTCTCCTCCCCAAGCCCTAACACTTATCCCTACATTTTGGACTCCCTCACCAAAGGCCCATCTCTACATGGCCCAGCCCGGCCTCTTGCCGAACCCCATGCAACCCACTTGCCGAAGCCATGAACAAAAGGCTAGCCTGCTTGCGGAACGACATGGGTCACCAAACCTTCTTGGGCTCTTGTTCTTTTCAAGCCTTGAGCACCCCAAGCCCAAAAAAAAAAAAAAAAAAAAGGCCAAACGGCAAAGGGCTATAAAAGGAAAATTGAAGCCCACACTCTTTTCTCCTTCAGGTTTCAGCCCAATCTTCTGGGACCCAAGCCCTTGCTGCCCAAAACCATCACTTGGTTACCAAACGATAGGACCCGAGTCATAAGCACTGAGGCCCACAAATTTTCTTGCTAAGGCTTCAAGACCCAAGTCTACTTTTCTTTTAAAGGTATCCAGCTACCAACAATCCCAGAAGCTCACACAGCCACCATATCTTCCATGTGTTGACGCAACTTCTAACTTGCCAACTTGGGGGACGAGGGAATGCCCTACAGCTCCCACTGAACCTGGAATGCTAGGTCATGATTACACAAAAATCTAACAAGTTCCCAACCCAGAAGTTACTTCTTGACTGCGAACTTGAGGGACTACTGTTTACACCATAATTAACCGAGCATATCCAGCCTCAAAACAATTAGCACCAAAGCAGCCACACCTTCTCCCTTATCGAAGGAAGACACTCTTCCAAGGTGCAAGACACCTGTCGAAGCTCCCGACTGCCGACTCTCTCAAACTGCTGAACCTAATCTCCATGACACGTGTCACCACCACAGCGACTTGCACAAAGTCCCACATCGAAATTGTACACAAACCTCCCACTTTCACTTCCCTATAAATAGGGAACAATACCCTAGTAAAAAGGGTAACTACTTTCTTGCATTTTACTGTCACCCCACCAAAGTTACTATTCTTAGCTGACTTAAGCATCGGAGAACCTTCGGCCGACACCACACCGGTGTCCGAAGCTTAACGATTGCTTCTCCTACTTTGTCTTCTGCAGGCTAGCCCCTCACCGAAGGTCCACACCTTCTCCACTGCTGAAGGCAAACCCCTTTTCTCTAAGTTGACCCTCTCCGAAAAAAAGCATCAACAGTCTATGCCAAGACAACCCTACGTAACATACGAGGCCTACTTCTACTAAGTGTCAACATTACACTAAACGCATGACAAGTCTTATTCAACTTAGTTCAATCCAAAGACAATCCAGAATAATCCTTAAACATAGTTTACGCTAAGACAACCCTATGTAACAGACAAGGCCTACTTCTACTAAGTGCCATAACAAAACTTGCAATTTTGCTCTTCTAGAGAATCACAATTTCAAATTTGCTTTCACTGCTTGACTTTTCTCTCTACTGATTCTAAAGGCTTCTAGTTTCTTGAGAGAACTCGTATAACTTTGTTGGAGCTATCAATGGCATTATCATCTCATTTCTCAATCTTAAGGCACCTTTAGCTTTAGTGTACTTTTAGCACAACACAACAGGAATTTCACTTGTTCTTGATGCACCTTTAGCTTTTTCGCATTTGCTCTGGTTAAATTAATTCTCGGGTTGTTGACCGAAATGGTCTCCCAACTTTTGCTCCAGTCTTATTTTAGTTCACCAACTAAAATTTTCATTTCAATAATTCTCTAACTCTCTATTTAGTATCAAATTAGTCCTACCGTAAAAGTCTCAATTTTGCCATTAAATGTAGGGGTAAAATTGTCCATACGGAATAAACACTAATAAATAAACATTTGAAAATTAAAAAATACTTCCCTAAAATAAACTTTTTTTGTTCCAAATAACTTTTACAATAAAACCACTAACAAAGAAAAAAGATGTTTATACCATAATCAATCGAACATATCCAGCATCAAAATGACTAGCACTAAGACAGACACGCCTTTTCCCCTGCTGAAATGCCCCAAAGGGACACACAGACAAATCCCTAGAAAGTGACGGACATCATCACATTCCGACATGCCGAAGGAAGACACTCTTCCAACGCGGCAGCCACTTGCCGAAGCTCCCGACTGCCGAACCTAATCTCTAAGGACACGTGTCACCACCAAAGCGTTTTGTACAAAGTCTCACATCGAAACTTTGTGCAAAACTCTCATTTTCACTTCCCTATAAATAAGGAACAATACCCAAATAAAAATGGTAACTATTTTCTCACATTTACTGTTACTCAGCCAAAATTACCACATATAGCTGACTTAAGCATCGGAGAGCCGACAGCAGGCACCACACCGGTGTCCGAAGCTTGACGACTGCTTCTTCCTCCTTGTCTTTTGCAGGTTCTTCTAACTCCGAAGGTCCTCACCTTCTTCCCTGCTGAAGATCCTACCCTTCTCTAAGTTGACCCTCCCAAAAAGAGCATCAACAATAGACATTTGAACAAACTCCGCTAACCTCAACACCCCCTGCGCACTATATCACTCAATTTGCCTGCACTCATTTATATGCACACCTTCCTCAGGCTTAACACCTCCACCACCCTCTTCCAAATTTTTCCACAAGTATAGGCATTTCACAAGCACTATGACCAAAAAAAATCATCATCATCCCTCTCAAATCCAAAACCCCACAGTGCAGTATGACCACCTCTCTCTCTCTCTCCTCCTTCCCAAAACCCCACCACCCTTCCATCACAAAAGAAAGTCTGGTGTAGAAAAATTTGGGATAAATAATCTGTCTTATTGATATTTCACAAGGGTTGGTTGGTTTTGATGGAAGAAGAATATATATTTTTCTTCTCATGGGTGTTTGGATCGGATAGAAAAATTTAGGGAGTTTCAATAAAACACCCAAAATGGGGGTTGAAATTATAAAAAAACCCAAGCACTATTTAAACATATAAACACACCCAAAACCCATCATTACACACACTCAAAACCCATTTATAAACACACCCAAAAAGTTGACTTTGGAGTTGATTTTGGGTGTGTTTCTATGTTTAAATAGTGCTTGGGTTTTTTTATAAATACATATCTAGGATTGAGTTTATTTATAAATTTGTAAAAAAATCTATTTGAGACAGAAACTCAAAGTGGTAAAAGAAGAGGGTTTTTTAGGAACTCGTGAAGCCCACCTCTCCACATACGGAGCTAGAGTTCTAATTTGGAGGAGCTTTTAACATGTGGACGGTTTTATTGCTGAATTTAATTGCAAAATTGATAAGACTTTGACAGTAGAACCATTTTGATACTAAATGGAGACTTTGAAGACTATTGAAATGAAAATTTTAGTTGGTGGGCTAAAATGAGACTAGAGCAAAAGTTGGAGGACCATTTCAGTAAATAACCCTTAATTCTCACTTGGCATTTAGGGATGGTAGGATATAACATACTCCGAGAATTACCATTCTATTTCCATCCTACAAAACAATGTCACGCTACCAAGAGAATCCATAATGGGGCATAAGATTATCTTAAGATTATCTTAATTGCCAGTGCCCATCACTAGTCTCAACCAGGTTAAGGATTTTCTAAACTTTGTGCTTATCTAGCATTCATTATGTTATTCAAAGTATGCTATTCAGATTTCTAGATGCCCTAAACTTTCTTAGTGACTCATAGCTAGTCTTTCCACCTAAGATATCTCGCCTTCAAAGGACATGGGCAGTTTCTTCAGGCATGATGCGGGGAATACCTCTCCGTGAGCTGGGTTAATTTGGCATCAAAATCCTTCTCCAGTTCTACCTCTTCCTCCCAATGCCTCCACTTCATTGCAGCTTTATTATCTTCATGAGCTTTTATCAGCATATCCCTCTCTTCCACAAATTCTTCCATCTCTTTTTCTTGAGACTTGATGAAGTTATCAATTTCCGCCGACCTAAAGCCAGGAGTACGAAAGAAGCAAAAATCAAACAAAACTAGAAGCACCGCTTTAGGACATGCATATTGGGGTCCTAACTTTCTCTAGTCAATACACATTCTTTAACACACTACTTACCTGTATTTCTTTTCCTCTCCATTTGAAGGATTGACATACGACTGCTTCACCTTGTTGCGTTCTTCCTGCTGCAGCCTCTCAAAGCTTTCTTCCTTTGCATCCCTTGATTCATGAATTATTTTGATTTGGTCTTTGAAAAATTGTTCTTGCAGATACATCTTTTCACACCCAAAAATAAATAAATAAATAAATAGATGATTAAGCAAGCAAAATTAAATAAAAGAGCAAGTACATCTGCCAAAATGAACAAGAAATACAGATTACAATAAAACATTTAGAAGCCACATGGAAAAACAAAAAAGATGGTAAATCACACAACACAGTTAAAATAACAACTGCACATCAAGCCAAACCTGCCCACCCTCAGAAAAAATCATAATCCTCCTAACCGCAGGCTCTTGATTCAGACTTGTACTATAGTTGTAACTTAAAAAAACAATACCAGCATGGACATCCATAAATGTCCCCACCAGAATATAAAAGCAGAGTCTACCAACTGCTGCTTACCCCACAACACGAGTTTCAATCATATATATCTTATCCGAACGGGGAATAATACCTCTTCCTTGTTCTCTTCGTGCTGCATTTTGGTCCTGTGTCTTACAATACGATTTTCCTCCGTTGTTTTCCTGAGCTTCTCACTAACTATACCAAGAGATTCTTCAAGTGCTTTGGCATGCCTCTGTTCTTTAGCAACCCTGTTCTTAAACCAATTAAGCTGTTGGTTGTCCTCACTCATTTGCCTGATTCGGTTCACAACCATCTCCTGGTACGATCTCATCTCAAATTTCAGCTTTGATTTACCTAATTAGTGATAGAAACATGTAAGACATCCATATATAACATTAGCACAAATCTTAATAGCTGACAGAAATCCAACGTATCAAAGCCTAGCATGTGAACTTAAAGGATTTAAGTGAAAGCTCATCGTTTTGTACGCAAGTTACCACCCAAAACAGACACAAACATAAAGCGTGGCATGGGTGGAGAGAGCGAGAGAGAGAGACCTTGGGAATGCTGGTTAAATATGTCCAAGTCTTCTTTCACCGCCATGCACCCATAAAGCTGTCGCTTCCCACCTGAATGAAATAAGACACGACGATGATCCCAAGCATCTCTGTCTGTTCCTTGCTCTGTAAAATGCTTGTGCAGACACTCAGCCTCTAAATAACCCCTCGCAGACACTTCAAAGATCAAAATACTCATCCCACGGTGTCCCCGTGGACTGAGTGCCGAGCCCTCACAGCCACATAAGAGCTGAAGTAGTCAAGAAGCTCCTGATTTCCCATACCAATCCACTGAAATTCAAAAGCAACAGAAAATAAGGAGTGGAGTGATACCAAGACAAGGAACCTTTAGCAATAATCATGACAATGTGCACCTATATTTGACATAGTAATTTGATTACATAAAATACTTTCAAGCAAGAAAAACATCATTCCTACCCTTTCATTCTCATCCTGCTCAAGTCTAGTGTTCATGATGACAACCATTGGAGGCCACACAATTTCATGATCCTTTTCCTCATCTTTTAAACCTTTCCACTTACCGAATGCTTCACCGGCAGGTACAACTGTAGTTCCCTTCCTCTGCAACTCCTCATCCAAAAGCTCCGCAAGCTCTCTATGGAGCATCACCCTCTTTGATCCTTTTGTTTTGGCATGTGTCATTAGGGGTTGCAGGCCTCGGTACCAGTCAATGGCACCAGGACCACCTTGGCATGCAGGACAGTGCCACTTCCTGGCAGGATCATTAATCTCATCAATAGTTAAACTATCCAAAATCTCAAAGAATTTCTTGAACCATCTGCTACTCTTTCGAGTTTCATGACTCTTTTCACTTGAATCCGAATCAAACTCATCACTAAATAGCTCATCATCACTATCACCCACAGCATCAGAGTTGTCATCATCATCATTAGCCATAGCAGCAGACACATCGCCGTCCTTGTCATAGTTTCCCTGGCCATCATCTGAACCCTTGGGTTGAGTGAAACCCGCTCTGGATTGCCAGTTCCATCCGTGGTCCAGCGGAGGGTGAACTACTTGTTGTGGATCCACATAGTTGTTTTCAGAAACCTTAGCAGAAGACTGCTGCCTTACATTTCCTCTTCCGGCTGGTTTTTTAGAATCAGCAGTTTGTGATGGCCAGAAGTTCCCAGGAGCCCTTCCTGGTCCACCACTATTCCTCATACTTGGCTTCTGAACTTCAAACTGTGCCCAAGCTTTAGAATTAGAATTCTGAGGACCCCATTGTTTTGCAGTACCGCTTCCAGCTCTGTTCTTTGATTTCCTGGAAATTACCTCCCACTCTCCGTCATCTTGGGCCGAGTCCAGGCTAATGCCTTCTACACCATGAGTTAACTGCTCAACCTTGGGGCTATTGACTTCCAAGACATCTTTTCCTTTGGGATTTCCTCCATTTCTTCTCACACTCATCCTAAAGAATAATACCTTCTGTGGATCAGTTTTTAAACAAAAAATCACAAAAAAAACATTAAAAAATTTGAGCATAAATTATCTTACAGGATCAGGGACATGGCAATTTTCAATTTTGTAGACAATAACAAAATGATGTACGTGCACTTTCATTAAAATATCAATATTAAGTGTCGAATCATAAGATGATGGTATACATTTATATGGTAAATGATACAGCTAGAAGATCACAAATATTCGTAGACAAGCACATCATTCAATTTATTGAGCCAGTCTTGAACTTAATGCACCTTCTAAACAATTTTGTAAGAATCCGCTACAAATGAAAATTCTAATGCCCCAAAAATATATAACATATCTGTTGCTAGAAGTAGAAAAACTGGTTTTTTGCTTCCATTTTTCGTACTTTATAATGAAGTAGACTAATAGGCAACATAGGAAAACGCATGCATAGAAAGTGAGTAAATGAGAGAGAGAGAGAGAGAGAGAGAGAGAGAGAGAGAGAGAGAGAGAGAGAGAGATTATATATTTAACCAACTAATCGTACAAAACCAAAAATCTTACATTTGATTAGTTTCTTTTCCATTTCACACATCAAGATTCAAAAATAATGTCAAGATATGCACGAAACATATTCCCAGAAATAAAATTGTTTACTTGTACAACCTTTCAGAGCTAATTTACCAACTTCAAATCACAATACCCATTAACAAAACAAATCATTCAATTCATTAATTAGATAGAATGAGTTATAGAACACACATCATTCATTCTCCAACATGAAATTTTTCTACTTTGATGCCATATACAAGGCAACATGCATGATAAGCAGCCAAGTAATTTTCCACGAAATAAAATATTTTCATAAACTGTTGGACGATCATACCAATTCAACAGTTTGTTTTCCAGTTACAGATTTTCTTCCTTCGACATAGAATCTTAACCAACAATCTTTAACTCGGCACCCTCTTTTCTATAAAAATATTTGCCACCAAAATACCTCCTCAACCAAATATCAGGAAACACAGGTCCATTTTATATTTCTTTACCTTATTTTCTTAGAAACAAAACAGAGCGCAAAAAGAAGGTTGTTAGACAAACATAAAAAAGCCCTAAAATTTTCACAAAGTTTTCATGCACAGAAATGTGACGGACAGGGCCAGCCCTGAGCCTAGGCATGGAGGCCGACCGCTGTGGGCCTCAGACCAAGGAGGGCCCCAAAGTTGTTTCCAACTTTTATTGCTATTCTCAGTTGCCGCTGAGATATTAAACTCTTTCACGTAGCTTTATAATTCCAATGAAACTTTGGATTACACTAACTTTGTACTTTCATGCTTTACCCCATCAGCATTCAATGTTCATTTTTAATTTTATTTTTTTCCCCTTTCTTTTATCTGTCTTCTCTCTATGACCAGAGCCTCCATTCAAGCTATCGTGCAATGGCAAAACTTCTATTCCCATTTTATCCGTCACTGACGGATCTAATATTCTAGAGAGAGGAGGTTCAAAAAGGGTTTTAGAGAGAGAGAGAGAGTGAAATTAAAAGCACAAGACGCACTGAAACAGCTTGTTGTGCACATTATACTCTGATCTACATTGCTACGGCAAAAAAAAATTTGTTTAAGCACAAAATCCCAAAATTACACAGATACTTAAACAAAGCTCGCAAGTACATACACATATCTTGCTGGAGAGAGAGAGAAAGAATACGAAGCTTCAAGAGAGATTACCTGAGGGACAGAGCCGATCGTTGTCGGAAAATGACTACTGTACGCCGAAAACGGAGGGGTTCGTCGCAAAGGATGGCGCTGGCGACTGAGAATCACGCGCTCGCCAACATAGTGAGAGTGAGAGAGTGAAAACGAGAAGAAAGACATGGAAAACAAGTCTTTCAGAAAGACCCTGCCTCTTATTCCGACAGAAGTCTTATCATGAAATCTCGTTAATTATCTGTAGTACAATACAATCCTTTTGATAGTTTCTGGTATTTTTTGACGATCCTTTTGATGGTTTGTTGTAGGGTTCTCTTACTTTTCTTTGTTGGCCCAATATTAGGGGATGTATTCAATTTAGATTTATATAAATTTTAAAATAGGTTATACAAGTCTACGTGTATTCAATTCAGACTTGTATAAACTTTTAAAAGTCCATACAAATATAAGTATACTTAATTAAGGGGGATGTATTGATTGAATTAGCATTCTATAATATTTTAAAAGACTTTAAAAATCCGGGTGCATTCAATTTAGATTTTAAGGAACTTTTAGAAAGTCTATAAAAGTTTGGGTGTACAATATAAACTTATTTGAACTTTTAAAATGTCCATCTAAATATGGGTGTATTCAATTAGAACTTGAAATAAATTTACCTGTATTCAAAAGGAGATAGATTTGGAATGATTTAATTGAGTGTTGGAGTTTGGAGTACTTCTAAGGTTTAGGTATAAATAATAAAGGCCAACATAAGTCCAACCTCCACCCCAAAGCTTTCGTACGACATGTTTTTTTGTTAGAGTTTGTATAGGAAAATACACTTGCATTTAGTCCCACATTAGAAAGGAGTTGTTTTCTTTCTTCCATTGTTTATAAGCACCAACACTTTAGAAATACTAAATAGAATATGTGCCTAGTGGAGGCAAAGTTAGGCCTCATCATAGTTCATAAATATATATATATAATTAATTGTCAAAAGATGGGTCTTGGGCCTTGGGGCTCTGTTGATTTAATTAATAATTTATTTTTATTAATTAAAAATTCGCTTTTTTCAGATAATACCAAAATCTGAAATTCGAATTAGTTGAACAATTAACATAACTATTGGATGAAGAGGTGTCAGACCTCTATATATTGACAATATGTTCAAACCAGATAGACACGTTTTGAACAATATTATCATTCTCACATTTTAACACTTCTTAAGAGAATTCATACCATTGTTCGCCAGAAATCAAAGTCACTGTGCTTAGGCTTTGATTTAAGATAGTTTAATCTTGGTGGATAGACTCCTATCGAATTACAATTAAGGGTGGAGGAGAAATACTATTTAAAGGACACTGCAACTCTGCAGGACTCTATCTACAATCCAAGTCAGTAATCTACAATTTACATTACTGTTGTATTGATTCAATTATATTTGTATAAAATATATTTCGTTTGTTTTTATTATTATGTTATTTTGGTTTTATTCTGATTGTTCTCCAACATTTTTTTCTCTCTGCAGAAGACGAACCACCCTCCAAAGGTACGCTCTCTCAATTTTCTTTTTGGTTTTCCTTCTTCTTCCATGATTTTTTCTTGTTTGTTACTGTTCGTTAAGAATCACAAAGAAGCAATTAGTGATTTAATTATCTACGTTGACTGACTACAAGGAAAAGACACAAGAGATCTAAAAGTGCCAGCTAGACTTGGATGTGGAGCCAATAAAGGAGAACCAGGAAGAAAGATTTACTCACCAGAGCCTGTAAATTTTCAAACTTCTTAATCGAGTTGCTCTTAGTCAGTGGCCATGGAGATATTATAAGAGCTGTTGATGCTCAAAATGGTTGGGCCAAGATTGAGTCCAACTTAGTGATGAGGTGTGATGGATGATGAATGAAGGTGAAGACCTTAAGCATGTGTGTAAAGACTTGGGCAAGCGATAAATATAAAGAAGACAAGATATACGTGGTTCACCCTTAATGAATGGGCTACGTCCACGGAGAAGTATTCTCTCATTATAATGGTGTATGATTACATTTGTACATGGGGTTGGACCTGAATATAAAGATGACAAGTGAGATGCCCATGCCAGGGATCTAGGAGAGAGTCCCTGGCCCTAGGGTCTAGCTCTAAGACCCGGATCCTCTTCTAAGTGGGGAGAGGAAGTCCCATTTTCACATGGATACTATTCCCTATTTATAGGGAGGTGAAAGTGGGAGGTTTGTGTAGATTTCCGATGTGGGACTTTGCACAAGTCACTGTGGTGGCGACACGTGTCATGGTGTTGATGCTCTTGGTGCTAGTTGCTTTGATGCTGGATATGTTCGGTTGATTATGGTGTAAACAGTAGTCCCCCAAGTTCGCGGTCAAGAAGTAACTTCTGAGTTGGGAACTTGTTAGGTTTTTGTGTAATCGTGACCGAGCATTCCAAGTTCAGTGGGAGCCGTAGGGCAGTCCCTAGTCCCCCAAGTTGGCAAGCTAGAAGTTGCGTTAACACTTGAAAGATATAATAAAAGCTGTGTGAGCCTTGGACCTGTTGGTAGCTGGGTACCTAGACTTTTGGCAAGGAGGCCGGGACTGAGCTCTGTGGGGCTGAGCTTTGGTAGAGGCCGTGGCCTTGAAGTTTTGGCAAAGGGGGCCTTGGGGAGCAAAATTTTGAAAAGCAAGGAGCTGGGCCATTGGAGTATACTTAGGTTCCTGACAAAGACCTGAGATAAAAAAGGCTGGGCCTTAATAGAGATTTCGGCAAAATTCCCCTTGGAGCTGGGCTTTGGCAAGGGACCCAAGTGGTTTGGGCTTAAAAGATTTGCAAGGGCTAGGCCCTAGGTGGGTTACAGCAAGGAGGCCAAGACATTCTCAACCCCACCCTTTTTTTTCTTTGTTTTTTTTTAGAGGGAGAAGAAATGCATGGGGCCTTTGTTGGAGTGGACCTTCGGCAAGTAGGCTAAGTCATGGTTTCGGGCTTACCCTTAATTGGGCTTTCGGCAGGGAGCTGGGTCCATGGGGCCTTGGCTAAGGCTGAAGTGGGTCTGGACCAAATGAGGCCCTGGGTTTGAGAAGCTGGGAGCATTCGGCAAGACTTATTGGTTTTGCCCCTATTTAGCTGAAGCACGACCCTTGCCGTTCGGCAAGGGTTCATTGGGATTTTTGAGAGACCTCCTGCGGTGTCTTCAGCAAGTGGGTCTAGGTGCCTAGTTTGAGTTTAAAATTTGAAGGTTCAGCACTCACTTCTTCGGCAAGATGACTAGAGGTCTGATCCCTTCTGCTTAGCCCGAACCTGCCGCTCGGCGGGGCTAGCCTGGCAAGTCGTGTGTTCGGTCCATAGGTAGCTTGGTGGCTGTGCTGAGTCACGGCTTTAGATCGAGAGTTGTGAGCCTCCCTTCTAGTTCTTCCACGACCCTTGCCGTTCGGCAAGGGTGGGCTGCGCTTTCTCGAGGCCTTGGTTTAGCAAGGGTGGACGTCTTGTGAGGAAGAGTTCTCTTGGAGCTGGGTCCTGTGGGTTGATCGGCAAGGTTACTAGCTTGAATGTCCGGGTCGGAGCCTAAGCTGGATGAGTTCCCAAGCCTTTGATCGAGCCTTGCCGAACGGCAAGGCTTATTAGAATTTGATTTCGTGAGATCCAAGAGGAGGTCGAGAGGTTTTTAGGCACGGCTTCGGTAAGGTGAAGATTTTGATCGAAGACGGGAGAGCCAGCAGCGTCGTTGGCAGCCTCGGCACATTCGTGCTGTTCGAATTTTCTGCATAGTCTGGTCAAGTTGGGAGCTGGGCCTGCGGGGTGACTTTCGTCTTGGTGAAGGCTCGGGTCGGAGCCTTTGAAATTTTGATATGTGTAGGGTGCTGGAAGATGTGTCTTGTTAACTTGAGATTTTTGTTTGTTGTTCTGTCTTTCAACATATAGATTTGAAGCCTTTGGTAGGTGGGTTTGTGAGCTGGGTGCCTTGATCACATTCAGCAGGTGGGTTTATTTAAAGTGGCCCGGACAGCTTTTACTCATATGCAATATTCATGAACCATATTGTTGAATAGGATTGTGCAATAAATTATTTAAATATTACATGCTCGTATGCAATATTTATATGTAAGAAGAGAAATCTTATCTTGTGGTGAGGATGTGCGTGGGCATTGCTCATATCAGAGAGGTTTGTCGAAGGTGTCGAAGGTGACACAATATGTGGCTAGGCACAGGGGTGCCGAAGGCAACACAAGACTTGCATGTCGCAGGGCAATGTGGCTAGGCACGATGGTGCCGAAGGCAATACAAAACTTGCGTGTCGCAAGGCAATGTGACTAGGCACGATGGTGCCGAAGGCAACACAAGATGTGGCTAGGCACGATGGTCCTAGAGGCGACACAAAGCTTGCGTGTCGCAAGGCAATGTGGTTAGGCACGATGGTGCCGAAGGTGACACAAGATGTGGCTAGGCACGGGGGTGCCGAAGGCAACACAAA